CGGGCTCCAGGACTTCTCCTAAATCCCAGTCCAGGTCCGGTCCTCAGGTCTCTGTGGAGGTCCTGCTCCACTCCCAGGTCCAGGATTCAGACCAGGACCAGGAGGAGGAGGTGATGTCGTCTCAGGAGGACCTCTTTGATAAAACGGGTATTTACTCTTCTTAAAATACAAGAGCACTTTATTTTATTTGAGTGAGTTTGCAGTAAGTGAAGGTGTTTCCACAGAGCCGACTCGTCACAGCTCCACCCCGTCTCGCTCTCTGGCCCTGCTGCACCTGTCGGGGGGGGTTCAAGGGACGCTCGTGCACAACAGCCTCTCACAGTAAGACTGGACCCTCGCCCCAACACCCTCTCACTGTGTGTGTGTGTGTGTGTACAGGTGTGTTGTGTGCAGATGTCTTAGGATGTTACGGATGTGTTACAGTTGTGTTATGAATGTGTTACGGATGTTTTACTGATGTTACAGTTGTGTTATGAATGTGTTACGGATGTTTTACTGATGTTACAGTTGTGTTAGTTGTGTTACAGGTGTGTTAGCTGTGTTACAGGTGTGTTACAGGTGTGTTACAGGTGTGTTACAGGTGTGTTACAGGTGTGTTACAGGTGTGTTAGTTGCGTTACAGATGTGTTATAGGTGTGTTAGTTGTGTTACAGGTGTGTTAGTTGTGTTACAGGTGTGTTAGTTGTGTTACAGGTGTGTTACAGGTGTGTTACAGGTGTGTTAGTTGCGTTACAGATGTGTTACAGGTGTGTTAGTTGTGTTACAGGTGTGTTAGTTGTGTTACAGGTGTGTTACAGGTGTGTTGTTGTGTTACAGGTGTGTTACAGATGCGTTACAGTTGTGTGTTTAACCCTGTGTGTTCTGTGCAGAGGTTCCGTGGACTTTGTGGCTCCGACTCCAGAAAACTTGACTCCAATGATCGTCCCGAGCTCCCCCACCGACCTGCCCCCGCAGGGTACGCACCTGCCCCCCCACGCACCTGTCCGCACGCATGCACCTGCCCCCCTCTCCCCCACGCACCTGCCCCCACGCCTCTACTTTCACTTTGGTACAAAAATGTCCACGTTTCCTTTAAATCATTTTTAGAAATGTTTTTGTGTTTCAGGTGCTGAACCCGTGGACTCCTCCCTCCGTCAGACCGGCCAATCACAGCGCAGAGACACTGGCCCCGCCTCCTCCACACCTGTGTCCCACAACACACCTGGGTTTGAGCCGGAGTGCCCCCTGTCTGTGCCGTCGCAACCGGACTTCTCACACGTAAGATGACAGGACGCAGTATCCAGAGTACACGACAGGACGCAGTATCCAGAGTACACGACAGGACGCAGTATCCAGAGTACACGACAGGACGCAGTATCCAGAGTACACGACAGGACGCAGTATCCAGAGTACACGACAGGACGCAGTATCCAGAGTACACGACAGGACGCAGTATCCAGAGTACACGACAGGACGCAGTATCCAGAGTACACGACAGGACGCAGTATCCAGTATTCAGTATTTACACACATTTATACAGAAAAACATAAACTGGAAGTTTCACAAACTTCAGATACCAATTTAGACAACAGCGATTTATTATACAAAAAGATACTTCAAATATAGTAATACTACTACTACGACTACTACTACTTCTTCTTATATTTGTGTTTCTGATTTCAGGACGCGTTTGTACCGACTCAAAGCCAGGAGGACGTGTCTCAATCCTCTGCACCTGCCAAACCGTCTGCACCTGCCAAACCGTCTGCACCTGCCGCCTCCTCTGCACCTGTCGCCTCCTCTCAGTCCTCGTTAAACTTGTGCATAAACACAGAGGTTCAGGAGGAAGACGAGGAGGCCACACAGATCGAGCCCATGGAAGAAGAAGAAACAACTCCCCAGAAACCTGCTTCAAACTCCCAAAACTCCCAGAATCCCTCGGCTCGCAGCCAGGGGAGCGCTCAAAAACCCAGCGACGCAAATCAGGCAGCGGCGAGCCAAAGCAGCATCAGCGGGTCAGGCCAAGAAACGAAAAACCAACGAGAAACACCAGAACAAGGACCAAACCCAAACTCTGACAGCCTGGAACGTGACACGCTGAACGTCAAAAACACAAAGAGTGTGACCGGTTTGAGCCAGGGCAGCGCTAAAGCTAACAGCCAACCTACCCAATCCATACCAGAGTCTGCGGCGGCGTCCCAGACCAAACTTTTGAATGTCGATCATGAGAAAACTAAAAGAAATGTAAATCAAGCGAGTGCTAGAGCGAACAGCCAGCCCACTGTGTCTGTAGCCAAAGAATTTAACGTAGATCATGAAAAAATCACAAGAAGTTTGAGTCAAGGCAGCGCTAAAGCTAACGGGCAGCCTGCCAGATCCGTCACAGAGCTGAAGGGGAGTAAAGCCGGTCTGGGCGCGTCTCAGGCTGAACTGAAGGATGCAGATCGTGATAAAACGAACCAAGGCGGCGCCAAAGCGAACAGCCGACCCGCCGCGTCCGTGGAGGAGGTCGTCATGGCGATGCAGAGCCAGAAATCAAACGGAAATGACGAAGTTTCGCCTCAGAAGACGAGTGGAAGCCAGAGTCAAAGTCAGATCACTGGAGGAGCGGGAGAAACAGAGAGAGAGCAGAGTTTGGGTCTGGTGCTGTCCCAGAGTGAGATGTTAACGTCCGGAGGAGGAACAGGAGGAGGAACAGGAGGAGGAGCAGGAGGAGGAGCAGGAGGAGGAACAGGAGGAGGAGCAGGAGGAGGAACAGGAGGAGGAGCAGGAGGAGGAACAGGAGGAGGAGCAGGAGGAGGAACAGGAGGAGGAGCAGGAGGAGGAGCAGGAGGAGGAACAGGAGGAGGAGCAGGAGGAGGAGCAGGAGGAGGAGCAGGAGGAGCAGGAGGAGGAGCAGGAGGAGGACAGGAGGAGGAGGAGGAGGAGCAGGAGGAGACAAAATGGCCGCTGATGGAAAAGACAAGCGAGAAACATCTGGAGGGAAGAGTCTGGACAGCTCTGGAGGTGAGTGATTTATTTTTTTTGTGAGTTTTTTAAAATCTTTCTACCAACATCGTCATAAAAAAAAAAGAGGTTTACAGTCATCCATGCAGGTTTGAGTCATCTAGTGCTCTCTCCTGGGCCCTATTCAAACCCTCCTTACAGCAGTACGAGTCTGTACGAGGCTCCGCCCCCAGGCTCCCACACCACAATTTTCCATAAATACACAAAAACACGACACAAAACTGAACACAACAGCTGGACAAACCTGATGTGTTGTCGTAACAGGAAAAGTCATGTGTAAGTTTCCTGCGTTAACATCTGTGTCTCGTGTTTCCGACTATAAAGCAAATTTAAAATCCTTTAATTTTCTCAAAAATGGACGGTGCTTCTTATAATCCATTGTCTTATGTTTTAGTTCTGGTTGTGTTACTGACCTTGAACTGATTTTGTGTGGGACACGGCGCTCAAAAATCTATCAGAATGTTTTAGTACGACTTTGGTAAACTATGAAGCCGCAACGCGTGATGGATTGTTGGAGCGTTACGTCTGCTGTAGCCTGGTAGTCAGTCTGACGCCCCCTAGTGTCTCCGCTCAGTTTCATTTCTCTCCAGAGACTAGGTCAGGAATCAGAAAACACTACACGGTTTGTTAAAAAAAAACCTGAAGTGTGAGTTCTGGCTCCAGCCAATCAGAGAAGAGACAGACATTCTGTGTTGTCGAGATCTGTGTTGTGATTCTCGATCGAGGATTTAAACCAGAACAAAGAGAATATTTGATGAATTTGATCTCGGGGAAAGACGTTATTGTTCTTCTTCCTACAGGATTTGGAGCTTTACAAACGTCACGACCAAACAGCAGCGATTGGTTCAATAAAAAAGTCCCCGCCTCCTGTTGAGCGAATGAATCCTAATGCTGCAGGTCACACGGTTTACACCAAGTGAAACAAAGTGAAACCAGCTCAGGAATCAGACTCGTGGTCAGGAGCCTCACGGAGTAAAGTTCTGCATCGGCATTTATGAAATCAATGAAACACGACAGAGAATATGTGTCCATTCACATAAACGTGTGTCTGTGTGCACAACCTGCACACGTATAATGTGTGAAAAGTTTCACATGAACCAACAACACGACAGAAACACAGAACAGACTGAACATCAGCAGAACACCCCTCTGTCACAGAGAGAACACCCCTCTGTCACACAGAGAGAACACCCCTCTGTCACAGAGAGAGAACACCCTCTGACACAGAGAGAACACCCCTCTGACACAGAGAGAACACCCCTCTGTCACACAGAGAACACCCCTCTGACACAGAGAGAACACCCTCTGTCACACAGAGAGAACACCCCTCTGTCACACAGAGAGAACACCCCTCTGTCACAGAGAGAACACAGAGAGACACCCTCTGACACACAGAGAACACCCTCTGTCACAGAGAGAGAACCCCTCTGTCACACAGAGAGAACACCCCTCTGTCACACAGAGAGAACACCCCTCTGTCACAGAGAGAACACCCCTCTGTCACACAGAGAGAACACCCCTCTGACACAGAGAGAACACCCCTCTGACACACAGAGAGAACACCCCTCTGACACACAGAGAGAACACCCCTCTGACACAGAGAGAACACCCCTCTGTCACACAGAGAGAACACCCCTCTGTCACACAGAGAGAACACCCCTCTGTCACACAGAGAGAAACACCCTCTGTCACACAGAGAGAACACCCCCTCTGTCACACAGAGAGAACACCCCTCTGTCACAGAGAGAACACCCCTCTGACACACAGAGAGAACACCCCTCTGACACACAGAGAGAACACCCCTCTGTCACACAGAGAGAACACCCCTCTGTCACACAGAGAGAACACCCCTCTGTCACAGAGAGAACACCCCTCTGTCACAGAGAGAACACCCCTCTGACACAGAGAGAGAACACCCCTCTGACACAGAGAGAACACCCCTCTGTCACACAGAGAGAACACCCCTCTGTCACACAGAGAGAACACCCCTCTGTCACACAGAGAGAACACCCCTCTGACACACAGAGAGAACACCCCTCTGACACAGAGAACACCCCTCTGACACAGAAGAACACCCCTCTGACACACAGAGAGAACACCCCTCTGTCACACAGAGAGAACACCCCTCTGTCACAGAGAGAGAACACCCCTCTGACACACAGAGAGAACACCCCTCTGACACACAGAGAGAACACCCTCTGACACAGTCAGAGAGAACACCCCTCTGACACAGAGAGAACACCCCTCTGACACACAGAGAGAACACCCCTCTGACACAGAGAGAAACACCCCTCTGACACACATCTGACAGAGAGAACACCCCTCTGACACACAGAGAGAACACCCCTCTGACACACAGAGAGAACACCCCTCTGACACAGAGAGAACACCCCTCTGACACAGAGAGAACACCCCTCTGACACACAGAGAGAACACCCCTCTGACACACAGAGAGAGAACACCCCTCTGACACAGAGAGAACACCCCTCTGACACAGAGAGAGAACACCCCTCTGACACACAGGGAGAACACCCCTCTGTCACAGAGAGAACACCCCTCTGACACAGAGAGAGAACACCCCTCTGACACAGAGAGAACACCCCTCTACAGAGAGAGAACACCCCTCTGTCACACAGAGAGAACACCCCTCTGACACAGAGAGAGAAAACACCCCTCTGACACAGAGAGAACACCCCTCTGTCACAGAGAGAAACACCCCTCTGACACAGAGAGAACACCCTCTGACACACAGAGAGAACACCCCTCTGACACAGAGAGAACACCCTCTGACACACAGAGAACACCCCTCTGACACAGAGAGAACACCCCTCTGTCACACAGAGAGAACACCCCTCTGACACACAGAGAGAACACCCCTCTGACACAGAGAGAACACCCCTCTGACACAGAGAGAACACCCCTCTGACACAGAGAGAACACCCTCTGACACAGAGAGAACCCCTCTGACACAGAGAGAGAACACCCCTCTGACACAGAGAGAACACCCCTCTGTCACACAGAGAGAACACCCCTCTGTCACACAGAGAGAACACCCCTCTGACACAGAGAGAACACCCCTCTGACGCAGAGAGAACACCCCTCTGACACACAGAGAGAACACCCCTCTGACACACAGAGAGAACACCCCTCTGACACAGAGAGAACACCCCTCTGACGCAGAGAGAACACCCCTCTGATCACAGAGAGAACACCCCCTCTGACACACAGAGAGAACACCCCTCTGTCACACAGAGAGAACACCCCTCTGACACAGAGAGAACACCCCTCTGACACAGAGAGAACACCCCTCTGACACACAGAGAGAACACCCCTCTGACACAGAGAGAACACCCCTCTGACACACAGAGAGAACACCCCTCTGACACACAGAGAGAACACCCCTCTGACACACAGAGAGAACACCCCTCTGACACAGAGAGAACAGAGAGAGAACACCCTCTGACAGAGAGAACACCCCTCTGTCACAGAGAGAGAACACCCCTCTGTCACAGAGAGAGAACACCCTCTGACACAGAGAGAACACCCTCTGTCACAGAGAGAACACACCCTCTGTCACAGAGAGAGAAACCCCTCTGACACACAGAGAGAACACCCTCTGACACAGAGAGAGACACCCCTCTGACACAGAGAGAACACCCCTCTGACACACAGAGAGAACACCCTCTGTCACAGAGAGAACACCCCTCTGACACAGAGAGAACACCCCTCTGACACACAGAGAGAACACCCCTCTGACACACAGACAGAGAGAACACCCCTCTGACACAGAGAGAACACCCCTCTGACACAGAGAGAACACCCCTCTGACACACAGAGAGAACACCCCTCTGACACAGAGAGAACACCCCTCTGTCGCAGGGAGAAGACACCCCTCTGACACAGAGAGAACACCCCTCTGACACACAGAGAGAACACCCCTCTGACACACAGAGAGAACACCCCTCTGACACAGAGAGAACACCCTCTGACACAGAGAGAACACCCCTCTGTCACAGAGAGAACACCCCTCTGTCACAGAGAGAACACCCCTCTGTCACACAGAGAGAACACCCCTCTGACACACAGAGAGAACACCCCTCTGACACAGAGAGAACACCCCTCTGTCGCAGGGAGAACACCCCTCTGTCGCAGGGAGAACACTCATATTCCTCTGAGTCACTGTGTTCTTTAGTCCAACACAAACTGAACCACATCAGACACAAGAGCAGATTTTTTTTTCTTCGCTTAGTTTATGTAAATGAGTCATGTGGTTTTAAGTTTAGTTTCTGTGAGATTTGTACAAATCTGCATTAAACACATTATAACATATAAACATAACGACTCTAGAGCCACATCAGCTGTTGGATATTATAAAGTTTAATTTATTTATGCAGATTAGTAACAGTAATAATAATGATATTTATATAAAAACATTAATGAGAGTATGAAAATAATGTATTTATGTAAATAATAAATTCAAATGAAAATACCTCAAATTGAAGCTTTTCTCAGCAATTTTTAGGTGAGATTAAAAAAAGAGATTAATTAGATTAATTAATTATGATCTGTAATTAATTAATCTCTCATTTTTTTTAATCACTTGACAGCACTAGCTTCTTATAGTCCGAAAAATCCAGTGTTTCCTTCCCGTTCTTTCAGATTTTTTAACTGTCTGTGTCTCGTTCTTTCAGATTTTTCGTTCCACTTCACGCTGCCGAAGGAGGGCGAGCTGATTGGTCCGTGTGTGAGTGCCACGCCCCCTCAGATCAGCGAGCTGAAGCAGTCGCACAGACACAGCACCCCCATCGGTCAGTTTCACTCACGCCTCCCTCAAACTGAAACACGAAACTGTTCCAATCCTAAACGACTCTTCCCTCGACCGCAGAGACCAACGCCCCCTCCCAGAACTCTGACGTCTCCGCAGGAAGTGACATCGTGGCCGAGGGAAGTGACGTCACGGCTGACGAGGCTGATGGGAAACTGAGTCTGAGGATGAAGCTGGTGACTCCGGTGGAAGAAGGAAACAGCGAACGCTTCAGTCTGCAGAGTCAGTACTTCAGGGCTCCGCGCAGGAGACTTAGACCTGGTTTAGTCCCGCTCTTTAGTCCTGGTTTAGTCCTGGTTTAGTCCTGGTTTAGTCCTGTTTCTGTTTCTAAATGATTTGACCTTGATCTTGTGATTCTGGAGTTGTGCAGTAACATCCTCTGACCTCTGACCTGTGTCCCTCTCCTCAGGACCGTCCCTCGGTGAGGACGTCCCCGCTGGTGTCACATCCAAGAGCGAACACAGGTGAGTCACAGACACAGGTGTGTGTGACGTGGACACTATGGATGGGCATGATTAATCGATGAATCGATAATTGATCATTAAGAATTTCATGGATTCCGTTGATTTTAATGGACGAACTGAATGTATGTGTGTGTGTCGTGACCAAACAGGTGTGTACATGTGTCTCTGCATCAGAAGGAGCGAGACACAAACAGTGGGTCAGTCTGTAACGAACCGAAGCACAAATGTGGATTTAACCAGGATTTGTAGAAGAAATTCCACACTTTCCGTTGCGTTGGGACAAGTGTGAGTCCATGTGCACAGTGGATAAAGCAGCACATATGTTTCTGTGTCCAGTGGGAAAAAGTTTTTCCAGGTGAGAGTCGCTCAATGTGGATGACGAGGCCCCGCCCCCCTCCCCCCGTACGCTGTCCTGGTTTTGACAAACACAAATCTGGTCACACTGACCTGTATTCACCTGAGTCATGTCTTTTAATCCAACACAAGTTGAACCACATCAGCGACACAAGAGCTGGAGTTTTATCTTCACTTAGTTTATGTAAATTAGTGATGTGGTTTTAAGTTTTGTTTCTGTGAGATTTGAACAAAACTGAATTAAACACATTATAATGTCAAACAGCTGATGTGGATCTAGAGTCGTTATGTTTATATGTCGTAAAATTGAATTTATTGATGCAGATTAGTGCAGATAGTAATAATAATTAGAGCCCGACCGATATATCGGTTGGCTGATATTATCGGCTGATATGAGCACCTGGAGACATATCGGCCGATATATTTGCTGATAGGGGCCGATATTTCACGTGGGCATGTTATACCTCGTTATAAAGCTTAGATTATCTACATTATGTTTATTTAATCCAATTTACAGACAGATAAATGTCCAAATATGTGGCTCTGTGTCAGTATTTATCTGTGGAGTCATTTGTCAGTGTGTGTGTCCGTACTGTCCCTGAACACACCACAGAGTCACGTGTTTGTTTGTTTACACTCACAGACATAGATCCATGTGCGCAACACTGAGATTATTTTCTTTTTACGGACAATAGGTTTGAGTCTGGATTAAAAGGACATTTATTCGTGCAGACTTGTGATGTGGGAGGAGCCTGTGTGAGCGGTGAGTGTTGGAAATACATCAACTTTGAAGCTAGTTTTGGCAATTTGTGATTAGCTGTTAGCTGCTGTGTCTCTCACACATAAACAGGCTGTTTTCTATTGGTCTATTGTAAACTGACTACATTGGCCGTATATTTGTTACTGGACCTGCACTGATATGTAAATGAGCTGTGAATAGATGTGTGAACGATGAAATTTGCGCATATAATTAATTACCGCTGCGCGCCCGTATTTACGGCTAAAGGCTAATAGCGATAGTTTCTTTACTCTCTAGTAGAGGTAAGATCTTAAGACCAAGCCCGACCCGACCCGACCCGGTCGGGTCTAAAATGTCAATCATTACTTCGGGTCGGGTCGGGCTCGGGCTTCAAATAAATATATGTTTATAAAATGTTTGCTAAAACGATGTGTGGATACTAAACTAAGGAATACTTGTTATAAAATAAATAATATGGATAAAACAGAGAAGTAATGTAATGTCATTGCTATTTAACTACTAAACAGGATCACGTGAACGCCCCCTCTTCATTTAATCATCTTCCCCTCCGCAAGTCTGCATCTATTTTGACCTGGTGTCCCCAATATGGAGGAGCAAGAAGTTAAACTAAAGGCAGGAGAACTGAAAAGACAAACACGCACCGGTAAGAGTGAGGTGTGGAAAAGCTTCAAATTGATTGTTGAAAATGCTACAGAAACTTGCGTTGGCTTCGCTGAATGTCGTCAATGTGGCGCTTTGCTTTCATACGAGAGCAAAAAGACTGGCACCTCGACGCTGAGCACTGCTCCTCCTCCCGAGTCCTCACAAATAAAATATCACTAAATATATCGGTGATTATATCGGCTATCGGCAGAACCAACTCCCATTATATCGGTGTCATATTGGCCACAACAAAATCCATATCGGTCGGGCTCTAATAATAATGATGATCATTTTAATATAAAAACGTTAATGATTAATCGATAATCGATCGTTAATTCTTCCGACGATCGATTAAGAAAATTTCATTGAATGCCCGTCCCTGGTGGACACAGGTGTGTGTGACGTGGACTCGTGTGTGTGTGTGTGTGTGTGTGTGTGTGTGTGTGTCTGTGTGTGTCTGTGTGTGTCTCTGTGTGTGTGTGTCTGTGTGTGTCTGTGTGTGTGTGTGTGTGTGTGTGTCTCTGTGTGTGTGTCTGTGTGTGTGTGTGTGTGTGTGTGTGTGTCTCTGTGTGTGTGTCTCTGTGTGTGTGTGTGTGTGTGTGTGTGTGTGTGTGTGTGTGTCTCTGTGTGTGTGTCTCTGTGTGTGTGTGTGTGTCTGTGTGTGTGTGTCTGTGTGTGTGTGTGTGTGTGTGTGTGTGTGTGTGTGTGTGTGTGTAAACGTGTCTCTCTGTTTCAGTCCGTCTGTGTTCAGTCGAGTCCGACAGGTGCACCGAGCGCCTGCCGAGGACACCTGCCCGCTCAGGTGAGGCCCGCTGCGCTCGTCTGGTCTGGTCGGTTTGTGGTGTTGTATTAAATCGTCCGTGTCCCGCAGGAGTCCTCTGTTCATGTCGCCTCAGAGGAACAGCCAATCAGACGCCTCCGTGCAGGAAGTGACATCACACTCCGCCACGGCCAATGAAAACGGAGCAAAGAATCTGTCCCAGAATCCACCTGGAGCAGCCAACAGCCTCGACAAGGTGAGTCTGAAGCGAAGAGGAGGAGACTCGACACACACACAAGACACACATGTTTACATCAGGGTTTTATTCTGAATTTATTTAACATGTAAATAATAACAATGATCATAATAATAATAATAATAATAATAATAATAATAATAATAATGATGTTTCTTGTTGTTTGGTGTTAAACTGGTGAAATGTTTTTTATTTCATGTGTGTGAGCGTCTGGGGAGGGAGGTTCTGATTGGACAGAAACACCAACAGATTTAAACACAAACATTTGAGCTGCTCCTGACTTTTCTGTCGTCTGGGTTTGTGGTTCCTCCACCGACACAAACACCGTCCAGACTGTTTGGACCCGACGTGGTTCTGATAATTGGTGCAGCGTCTGGAGAATCGTCTCATCACACTTTCAGTCTGTGAGATGAGGAGGAGAAGGGAAGAGTGTTGGAGAAGGAGGAAGAAGACAAAAGCTCAGCCCACTCCCACATCCCGCTCACAAATCCAAAGAGACGTGGATCAAAGTCCCGAGACACGACTGGACCAGGACCAGAACTGGACCAGGACCAGGACCAGGACCGGATCAAAGAACGACATGACGAGCGTGAAGCACCAGAGTAATTTTAACAAGAACAAACCACAAACAGGATCCACCAAACAAACTCCCTCACATTTAAAATCAGAACAAAACAAACTCTTACTTCACTGTGAAGATTCAATCACAATCAACATTTTCAGTAAGAATAAAGTGTTTACACCAGAGGTGTTCACACTTTTTCAGCCTGTGAGCTACTTACAAAATGACCAAGTCAAAATGATCGACCTAATACAAAGCCAAACAAACTGCACTGAAACACTCTGTGGCCCTTTTTTGGACCCTCCCCCACAGTTTGAGAACCTCTTCTTTAAGAGAACTTCCTCTGGCACTTTACACAAAACTGTGAAAAAACTGAAGGAAGATTTTTAAACCTGTTTTTTAAAGTTCCAAACTTTCCAAAGTTTCATTCTTTTGTGGTTTTGCAGTGATATTCACCAGCCTCTGCACGTTTACCAAACCAAACACACATCGTGACAAACACAGAGACACGGCGATCTACCCACACGACCTTGGCGATCGACTGGTAGATCGCGATCGATGTATTGAACACCTCTGGTTTACATGGACTTTTAAAATTGGAATTTAGTTTTGTTTAGAATTAAACCCTCATGGAAACGTGGAAACTGTGATTTAAAACATTCGCGGCTGAAAAGTGAAGTGTTTTTATGTGCTGCTGTTTCCAGACAGACCCCGAGACTCCGCCCCCTCGCAGAGGAGGGCCCGCCCACCGCCGACACGTGCGCACCATCCAGGAAGTGCGCACGACGGTCACGCGCATCATCACCGACGTTTACTACGAGGACGGCAAAGAGGTGGACCGCACCGTCACCCAGGTGAGACCGGGACCCGGGTGAGACCAGGACCAGGACCAGGACCAGGACCAGTCTGTGCTTAGACTGGGTTTAGGTCCTGGTCCAGTTCAGGTTCTTGTCCTGCTTCAGTCCTGGTCCTGGTTCAGTTCTGCTTCTGGTTCAGTTCTGGTTCAGTTGTGGTCCTGGTCCTGTTTGAGTCGTGGTTCTGGTCTCTGTCAGGAGTCGGACGAGCCCGTGGTCCAGTTCCAGGTGATGGACGTGTCTCCGAGTCGGACGGGCAGCAGCTCCGTGACGTCTGGAGACCTCGCTGACATCAGCTCCTCCACCTGCACCACCGGGACCACGTCCAGCTCCAACCCCGACAGGACCGACAGGACCGACAGGACCGCCGACAGGCCCACCTTCCTCCCTCCGCCCAGCAGAGGGGCCAAAGCCAACAGGTAGGGCATCTGACGCAGGAGCGGTGGAGAACACAACGTCTCTTCTTTGATTTGTGACTAAACCTTCTGAGTCTGAGCGTCTCTAACTTCTCCTCACAGCTCCTCTTCTCCTTTCCTTCTTTGTCTCCTTTCTCCTTGTTTCCTCCATTGCTTCCTTGTTTTCTCTCCTTCCCTCCATCCGTCTTTCACTCTCTCGGCCTCAGGAGAACAGGAGGAACATTAGCAGCAGGTGGAGGAGGAGGAGGGGGGGGCCGGCGTAGGAGCAGCCCTGGGTCTGGTCCTGGGTCTGGTCCTGGGTCTGGTCCTGGTCCTGGGTCTGGGTCTGGTCCTGGGTCTGGGTCTGGTTCTGTCAGTCCCAGAGGTAAAGCCAGAAGAGGGCGCCCTCCATCTCGCTCCTCCCCCCACAGGTAAGCCCCACCCCCTCCTCCAGGTGAACGGATAAGCCCCTCCCCCAGGTGAACGGATAATCCCTGCCCCCTCCCCCAGGTGAACAGATAAGCCCCACCCCCTTTCCTCAGGTGAGCCTCTTTGCCGCCAATGATGTTTCTGTGTCGTATGAATTCTGAACATTATAACCGACCAATCAGTCGCCTTCTTTCCCCGAAGCCCCTCCCACTATCATTAGCAGCGCTGTCAAACATGTTGCTAAGCGACCGCTCCCAATAAACAAACAACCTCAGTCCTGAACGACTCCACAGAGTCTGAAGTGTCACTGACGAAGTGTCTGTGTGTGTGTGTGTCTGTGTGTGTGTGTGTGTGTGTCTGTGTGTGTGTGTCTGTGTGTGTGTGTGTGTGTGTGTGTCTGTGTGTGTGTGTCTGTGTGTGTGTCTGTGTGTGTGTGTCTGTGTGTGTGTGTGTGTGTGTGTGTGTGTGTCTGTGTGTGTGTGTGTCTGTGTGTGTGTGTGTGTGTGTGTGTGTGTGTGTGCTGTGTGTGTGTCTGTCTGTGTTGTGTGTCTGTCGTGTGTCTGTGTGTCTGTGTTGTGTGTCTGTGTGTGTGTGTGTGTGTGTGTGTGTGTGTGTGTGTGTGTGTGTGTGTGTGTGTGTGTGTGTGTGTGTGTACACATGCTGCTCCTCAGGGGTCAGAGGTCAGAGTGTCCCCTAACCCTGCTGTGTGTCGTGTTTGTCAGAGCGCCCCCCGCAGGTCCAGACCCGCTGGCTCAGGTCTCGGTCTCAGACTCTCAGAGCTCGTCGGGCTCCAGCTTCGTGGGTCTTCGCGTCGTGGCGAAGTGGTCTTCAAACGGGTACTTCTACTCCGGGAGGATCATCCAGGACTTCGGGGTCCAGCCGGGCCCGGGCCCCGGGTCCGGACCGGGGGAAAACCGGTTCAGGCTCCGGTTCGACGACGGATACGAGTGCGAACTGTGGGCCAGAGACATCCTCCTGTGTGACCCCATCCCCCTGGACACAGAAGTGACGGCCCTGAACCAGGACCAGACCTACTGCACAGGTCTGGACCAAGACCAGGACTAAGACCAGGACCAGACCTACTGCACAGGTCTGGACCAAGACCAGGACTAAGACCAGGACCCAGACCTACTGCACAGGTCTGGACCAAGACCAGGACTAAGACCAGGACCCAGACCTACTGCACAGGTCTGGACCAAGACCAGGACTAAGACCAGGACCAGACCTACTGCACAGGTCTGGACCAAGACCAGGACTAAGACCAGGACCAGACCTACTGCACAGGTCTGGACCAAGACCAGGACTAAGACCAGGACCCAGACCTACTGCACAGGTCTGGACCAAGACCAGGACTAAGACCAGACCAGGACCAGACCAAGACTTGGGTCTAAACCGGTCTGTGTGTGCAGGTGTGGTCCGGGCCCATAAGTTGGACGGTTCGGAGCTTCAGTACTGTGTGGAGCGAGGAGACCAGAGGTTCTGGTTCTGTCGGAGTTCTGTGATCCTGAGTCTGGACCAGGGGAACCGTCTGAGGGACAAACACAGTCTGGGCCCGTACACGCCGCCGCCCGCCCTCGGGACCGCCGCCGACATCAGCCTGGGTACCGCCGCTCAAGAACGTCCACACAAGTGTCCCCACGCGAGTGGACACAACTCATTATCATATTCATGAGGCTCATTATCATATTCATGAGGCTCATTATCATATTCATGAGGCTCATTATATTCATGAGGCTCGTTATCATATTGAGTTGGAGTGACACTTTCTAAATGTTAAATGACTTAAAATAATTTCAATAATTTGTTTTACAGATAAATAAAAAATCTAACATGTTTGTAAAATATATACATTTAAAAAAGTTAATTAATCTGAATCTAATATCGTGTGTTTGTCAGATTGTCTAAATCTAAAATGTTTTACAGATCATTTAAGTCTAAATCGATTGTTTACGTATGTAAACACGGTTCTATGAATGAAAGTGAACCTGTAACCACGTGACTACAACCCTCGGGTCAGGAGCATTATGCCAAATTAAACACACCTGTGGGTGCGCGCTACACCTATATGAATGGCGCGCGTGCACACACTCACCCTCTTTCTGACGACTGGGCGTAACCAGCCAGCCAATCACCGACATGTGACCAGGACGGTTACAGGTTCACTTTCATTCATAGAACCGTGTTTACATACGTAAACAATCGTTCTATTTCATTTCAGTGAACCTGTAACCACGTGACAACAGTGGCCAAATCAGTCACAGGGAAGGTGAGGTGGAACCCATAAGGACACACCATGTGATAAATAAGTAAGCACATCAACCACAAGTGCAAGTGCATGAGCAGCTTTATTGCAAACATAGAGCAATCTCATAATAACAAACACAAAGTGTCACCCATCCATCACAGCCACTAAAACAGCAGAGGGGATGGTGGAAGCAGGCAAATTCAGCCTGTAAAACTTGGCAAAGGTAGAGGAGGATGCCCAACCAGCAGCACTACACACCTCCTCCAAAGGTGCACCCCTGAACAGTGCCCAAGATGCAGCCATTCCCCGTGTAGAGTGAGCAACCACTCCATGCGGGGGAGGCTTCCCTGCGTGATTATAAGCCATCGCAATGAGATCAACTATCCAGTGGGCCAGCCGCTGTTTTGTAACAGGCCTGCCCAACGTGGATGTGCCATAGCTCACAAAAAGGTTGTCCACTGAGCGAAGCAAGCTGGTACGAGCCACATAAACCTTTAGGGCCCTTACGGGGCAAAGTGCATGCAGCCTCTCAGCATCCTCAGAAGAGTGAGGTGGAGTATAGAAGGACTCCAAGACCAAAGGCTTAGCCACATAATTCCTAGGCAACACCTTGAATAGGAAGGCGGGGTTCGGCAGGAGATGTACCACCTCATTCTTGTCCCCAAAACGCAGGCACCCTGTCCCAACGGAAAGAGCAGCAAGCTCCCCCACTCTCTTAGCCGATGATATGGCAAGTAGAAAGAGCGTTTTCAAACTCAGGACCTGCAGGTCCAGGTCAGACAAAGGCTCAAAAGGAGGCAGGCAAAGTGCCCCGAGGACTACCTGCAGATCCCAAGATGGGAGCAAACGACGTCTGGAAGGGCAACGCCTCCTAACACCCTTCAAAAACTGTGTTGCAAGGGGATGCGACCCAGGGGTGAGCCCATCACACCGCTCATGAGCTGTAGAAATGGCAGCAAGATATCCACGTAAAGTGGATTCCGAGCGCCCCTGATCCAAAAGGTGCTGTGGGAAGGACAACACCACAGTCATGTCACAGGACACAGGGTCTACACCAGTCCTGTGGCACCACCCAGCAAACACGCTCCACCTACACCCGTAGAGGCGTTGGGTGGACTGTGCCCGTGCGGCCTGTAAGGTGTCAACAACAGCCCTGCTCAGCCCAAGAGCATGCCAGCGCTGCCGTTCAAGGGCCATACATGAAGATTCAGGACTTCGGGCCGAGGGTGCCAGATCTTGCCCGGTCCCTGGGACAGCAAGTCCTTTCTGGTTGGGAGGCGCCACGGTTCCCCGTCCAGCATCTCGTACACCTCGGACATCCAGGGTCTCTGCGGCCAGTTCGGTGCCACTAAGAGAACTCGTGCCTGGAACAACCTCACCCTGCCAAGCAGAGCTGGAAGGAGGCAGTGGAGGAAAAGCATAAAGCACCCCTGGAGGCCAGTTCTGGCTCAGGGCATCTACCCCCAGTGGTCCTGGTAGGCCGGTCATCGAAAATCACAGGGGACAATGAGTGTTGTCCTCTGTCGCAAATAGATCCACTGAGGCCTGACCGAAGCGGCACCATATCTGATCCACCACCTGGGGGTGTAAGCGCCACTCGCCGGGATGAGGAGCGCCTCTGGACAGCAGATTCGCTGCAACATTGAGGCCGGGAAGGTAGAAGGCTCTCAGAGACATGTCCTCTGACTGGGCCCACAGAAGGAGCTGGCATGCTCTGGCGTGCAAAGACGGAGACTTCAGACCGCCCTGATGATTTATGTAAGACACCACTGCAGTGTTGTCCGTTCGTACCATCACCTGCTTGCCCCTCACCACTGGGAGGAAGTGCTGCAGTGCCAAACGAACAGCCTCCATCTCGAGGAGATTGATGTGCCAACTCCGTCGTACAGAGTCCCAAGTCCCTCGGGCAGTCCTGCCTTCGCACACAGCTCCCCAGCTCTTCTCTGCATTCAGGTGAAGACCTAAAGAAGTTAGATGGTCGAGAACGACTGTAGTGTGCTCGCGAGCCATGCTTGGGGACGGAGTGCACACCAGCCAATCGTCCAAATAGTTCAGCACTCTGATACCCCTCCTCCGGAGTGGGGAGAGTGCGGCATCGATGCACTTTGTGAAAGTTCAAGGAGACAGTGACAGGCCAAACGGGAGCACATTGTACTCGTAAGCTACACCTCGGAATGCAAACCGCAGGTAGCGACGATGACCCGGATGAATGGGCACATGAAAATAGGCATCGCGTAGGTCCACAGTCGTGAACCAGTCGCCTGCTCGAATGGCCTGAAATAATGCTGTCAGTTTGAGCATCCTGAACAGGAGAACCTTGAGGTACTTGTTTAACCTCCTCAGGTCGAGAATGGGGCGGAAACCACCTGTGCGCTTTGGGACAAGGAAATACGGGGAGTAGAACCCCTGATTTTCCTCCTGTGGATCCAGTGGACGTATAGCCTTTTTGGAGAGTGAGGCCGAGATCTCGCTGGCAAGCACTCCTGAAAGAGACTGGTCTCCCACCTTTGTCCATAAAATGCCCCGAAAGCGTGGAGCGTGGAGGCGGAATTGCAGACGGTAGCCGCACTCCAGGGTCTTTAACACCCATGGGCATGAAGTACACTGGCGCCAAGCACTGAGATGGGTGCTTGAAAAACTTGACGCCAGCCGGAGCGCATAGTCAGGAACGCTGGGCAGACTTGGGCGGACCCCGTGCACCGCGCTCCCGAGAACGAGTACGGACCTTCTGTCGGCCCATTCGGGGAACAAAGGCCTGTCTACCACCTCCAGAATCCTGTGAGGAACCCGGACCCACTGACTGAGGTCTTTGTGGGCCAATACGTCTCTCTGGGGCCATCCGAGGACGCGACCTCAAGAGCCCCTGATTGCGCATGGTTCGACTGCGCATTCGCACTTTTTGGGCTTCATCCAAGGCTGCCTCTGCAGCCGCACCAAACACATGACCAGGCGAAATGCTAGCTCCCAAAACAGCAGCATGTTCCGCCTCCGACAAGGCCGTCTGGCTCAACCAAATGTGGCGCCTGGCCATGGTAAGATGGGCCAAGGAGTTACCCAGGACCTTGGCCTGAGCACTCGCTCCCTGAATCACCATATCCATGATATTAGTCAGTTCAGGCATGAGCTCAGATGGGCTCTTAGAATCCAGATCTCGGATCAGGCCCTCCAGATACACCAGAAGTAGAGCACTGGTGTTTGCCAGTCTAGCAGCCATGGCAGTAGACTGATAGGCTTTCGCCACAAAGCCATCAGTAGCCCTGCACTTCTTATTGGGATGACGGGCGACCCGGCCCGAAGGGGATGCCCCAGCCAGGAGTGCAAATGAAGGTTCGACCTGTAGGGTCCCATCCAACCCATGCTCAGCAGCATTGTGAAGCACACTTAGTGCAGAGCGGGGAAGCAAAGCTTCTCTTGGCCGAGCCCACGACTCGTGGAGACGGGAAACAAAATCCAAATAGACGGGCAAAAGGGCATAGCCCTGGCGGCTCGAACCCCGATCTAATGCAGAGCTAAGTTAGCATAACAAATGCACAAGCCGGCTACATAGCAAAGTTTGCAACCGGCAAACGGGAGCGATACACTCACCAAACTGCAACAAAATTGACACGGAACGCCAGGGGGGTACTACAACAAGGAGCAGCCCAAATCAGCGATGATCCGTGAACAAAACGGCGAAAATCTCAAGCCGCGCGGCATAAGCTCTCAACGACCAGGAGGATAGAAAGAGGGTGAGTGTGTGCACGCGCGCCATTCATACAGGTGTAGCGCGCACCCACAGGTGTGTTTAATTTGGCATAATGCTCCTGACCCGAGGGTTGTAGTCACGTGGTTACAGGTTCACTGAAATGAAATAGAACTAAATGTTTGATGTTTTTTCTCAGATAATCTGGTTGAGGGGAAGAGGAAACGTCGCGGGGCTCAGTCGGCTCTGGCCACGCCCACTCGCTCCCCCCGAGCCCCCCGCCCCAAACCCGGCCCCTCTCCTGATCCCGGTACTGATCCCGGTCCAAGTCCTGGTCCTGGTCCGAGCTCCGGGTCCAAGAGGAAGCTGGTCTGTGAGCGGACGCCTGCGGCCAAGAGGGGGCGCCGAGGAGCCGGTAAACTGGACTTTTAGAACCAGTTTAGAAAAAATCTGTTCAGACGAGACGAGGAGAAGCAATCACACCAGGTTTTATCGATTTGATCCAAAACATTTTCACGTTTCACTTTGTGTCTGTGGGTTTGTCTCCGCAGAATCGGCAGGTTTTTATTCAAGATCAATGAGATTTTACTAACAAAAAACAAAAAAACACTTTGGTCTCGTGATGGAGAAAAGATTTTAACATTTTAAACAAACATAAAATATTCTGGATGTTTTGATTTGATCTTTTTACTTTATTTTAAGTTTTTCTTCCAGATTTGTAAAAGATTCTGATGATTTGTGTGAAAGTGTGAACTTTGACCTCAGCAATGAATTTAAACTAAAAAAAAAAAAAATTATTCACCTGTTTTTATTTTTTATTTCACATTTTACACCAAAAAGAACCAAAACTAAACCAGAACTGAACCATGACTGGACCAGGTCTGGAACAGGACTAAACCAGAACTGAACCAGGTCTAAACCAGGTCTAAACCAGGTCTAAACCAGGACTGAACCAGGACTGAACCAGGACTAGGCCAGGACTAGGCCAGGACTAGACCAGGACTAGACCAGGACTAGACCAGGACTAGACCAGGACTGAACCAGGACTAGGCCAGGACTAGGCCAGGACTAGGCCAGGACTAGGCCAGGACTAGACCAGGACTGAACCAGGACTAGACCAGGACTAGACCAGGACTGAACCAGGACTAGGCCAGGTCTTGTGAGTCCGTTGGTCGTGTCGTCTGTGGTGAGTTGTTGAGTTTGGGTCAGACTTTTCTCTTTGTTTCTGTTGTTGTTGTTTTTGGGTTAAAGTTTCACTGTGGGACTTTTCTGGTGGAGGCTTCGTCTCCATGGAAACCTCATCACTTCCTGTTTCCTCTGGGGTCACACCCAGACTCACCGGGGCTCAGACTTTTACACTTGAGTAGAACAAGACTCTGATCATCTGCAGTGACGACACAAACACTCTGTGTGTGTGTGTCTGTGTGTGTCTGTGTGTCTGTGTGTCTCTGTCTGTGTGTCTGTGTGTGTGTGTGTCTGTGTGTGTGTGTGTCTGTGTGTCTCTGTCTGTGTGTGTGTGTGTGTCTGTGTGTGTGTGTCTGTGTGTCTCTGTCTGTGTGTGTCTGTGTGTGTGTGTCTGTGTGTGTGTCTGTGTGTGTGTCTGTGTGTGTGTCTGTGTGTGTGTCTGTGTGTGTCTCTGTCTGTGTGTGTGTGTCTCTGTGTGTGTGCGTCTGTGTGTGTGTGTCTGTCTGTGTGTCTGTGTGTGTGTCTGTGTGTGTCGTGTGTGTGTGTGTGTCTGTGTGTGCTGTGTGTGTGTGTGTCTGCTGTGTGTGTGTGTGTGTGTGTCTGTGTGTGTGTGTGTGTGTGTGTGTCTGTGTGTGTGTGTGTCTGTGTCTGTGTGTGTGCTGTGTGTGTGTGTGTGCTGTGTGTGTGTGTGTCTGTGTGTGTGCTGTGTGTGTGTGTGTGTGTGTGTGTGTGTGTGTGTGTCTGTGTGTGTGTGTCTGTGTGTGTGTGTGTCTGTGTGTGTGTGTGTGTGTGTGTGTGTGTGTCTGTGTGTGTGTGTGTGTGTCTGTGTGTGTGTGTGTGTGTGTGTGTGTGTGTGTGTGTGTGTGTGTGTGTGTCTGTGTGTGTGTGTGTGTCTGTGTGTGTGCTGTGTGTGTGTGTGTGTGTGTGTGTGTGTGTGTGTCTGTGTGTGTGTGTGTGTGTGTGTGTGTGTCTGTGTGTGTGTGTGTGTGTGTGTGCTGTGTGTGTGTGTGTGTGTGTGTGCTGTGTGTGTGTGTGTGTGTCTGTGTGTGTGTGTGTGTGTGTGTGTGTGTGTGTGTGTGTGTGTCTGTGTGTGTGTGTGTGTGTGTGTGTGTGTGTGTCTGTGTGTGTGTGTGTGTGTGTGTGTGTCTGTGTGTGTGTGTGTGTGTGTGTGTGTGTGTGTGTGTGTGTGTGTGTGTGTGTGTGTGTGTGTGTGTGTGTGTGTCTCTGTGTGTGTGTGTGTGTGTCTGTGTGTGTGTGTGTGTCTGTGTGTGTCTGTGTGTGTGCTGTGTGTGTGTGTGTGTGTGTCTCTGTGTGTGTGTGTGTGTGTGTGTGTGTGTGTGTGTGTGTGTGTGTGTGTGTGTGTGTGTGTGTGTGTGTGTGTGTCTGTGTGTGTGTGTGTGTCTGTGTGTGTCTGTGTGTGTGTGTGTGTGTGTGTGTCTGTGTGTGTCTGTGTGTGTGTGTGTGTGTGTGTGTGTGTGTGTGTGTGTGTCTGTGTGTGTGTGTGTGTGTGTGTGTGTGTGTGTCTGTGTGTGTGTGTGTGTGTGTGTGTGTGTGTGTGTGAGACGCTCACAGGAGGCAACAAACAGAACACAGTCTGAATCTTTGTTGTCGTTTTTCCAGACGTTTTGTGTTTGTGACAAAAACATGACCAGAGTTTGTTTAAATGGTCCAGTCATTCTACCATAGACACACATGTACAACACCCCCAGTGTGACGCCACTGCAGACGATCCATGACACATCACTGCTCCTGTGTTCACACGTGTGTCAGGTGCCCTCCTCCCCGTGTGTCAGGTGCCCTCCTCCTTGCGTGTGTCAGGTGCCCTCCTCCTCGCGTGTGTCAGGTGTTGTCCTGGTGTGTGTCAGGTGCCCTCCCTGTGTGTCAGGTGTCGTCCTGGTGTGTGTCAGGTGTTGTCCTGGTGTGTGTCAGGTGCCCTCCCTGTGTGTCAGGTGTCGTCCTGGTGTGTGTCAGGTGTCGTCCTGGTGTGTGTCAGGTGCCCTCCCTGTGTGTCAGGTGTCGTCCTCCTCGTGTGTCAGGTGTGTCGTCCGTCCTCGTGTGTGTCAGGTGTCGTCCTCGTGTGTGTCAGGTGTCGTCCTCGTGTG